AAATACCAATAATGTCGGATCGACTAAAACTAGACTTTGAGTTTCAGAAGTAGTTGTCGGTGTGGATGCGAATGTTGGTGGAACCCTAAATGCGTTTGTCTGTGAATAAAATTCTACGCGTTATGTTTTTCTCTAGTACGTATCTACTTCGGGAACCACATATAGAAAGGACAACTTACAATAAAGTTAATCTGATGCAACTCATCAGCTAAGGTCAAGCCCACACTATCTAAAAATATTACTGATGGCACATTTGTATCACAGAAAATGTTCCAGTTACACATCAACTCTTCCTCACCACAGCAGCTACTAAGGAAAGAAACGGAAACACATTAAATTACTGCTAGTCGAATAAAGCTTGACAGATTCATAGCCGAACACCGGAAATATTTAATTGACTGAACTGGAGGCCTGAAAAAACTTCATATGTATATGATGTTACTCCGATTATCAAACCTGCAATCGTGCGAACACATTTAAATGCGTTGTTCTCTCAATGACTGCTAGATCACAAACTCATTTTATTTCACATGACCCTTCTTTGAGTCATGGGAAAAAAGCTCGTTTCTGATTGGCCCTTTCCTGGTCAATGAAAGCTCAAATTGAAAAACCCACTTCACATTCGGATTCCTGGATATTGATAACCTATTACAGAGCTTTATCAAAAGGTCCCAAAAACCTCAAAATGAAAAAGCTCATTTCTGATTGGTCGACTTCCTAATCAATGATGGGAAGGTCGGATACAAAATTCGATCTCAGGCGCGGATTTCCCGACCTCAATTACCTCTAGTGAAACTTTAGAAGTTACGCCTAAATCAAGTTCCTTTCTGATGTTTTTGTGACCTTGCCACAAATAGACAGACACAGACAAGCTCTTTTTACTTTTTTTTCATATGACCCTCCCTACAGTTAAGGGAACAAGCTAGAAGGTATGCGAACACCATTCATTCTTATCAGTTTCAAATGTTTGACATTACAAAGAGTAAGCCACGTGTGCATCTCTTTCATTTGTTCGTTCTATAGAAGCCATTGTATACTCATTGATAAGGTATGTACATTGGTCATTTTATTATTATTTGATTGTGATTTTGCTGAAAATAGCCGAATAGAATGCTTGAAATACTCAATGAAGAAGTTTAAATCAGCAGTATTGCTTCATCTACTTGCATACGTTAATAGCTAGAATACCCCACATAATCCGGGCACTCATTGTCTCCCATACATACAAACAATACTTGTATGCATAGTTCGATGTCATATTGTAAGCGTACNAATGGCATTGCTCGACAGACGGATGAAGAGAAGATCGTTGTCTTTTCTATTGTTCGTGTTATGCCAAGTCGGAAAAAGAAAAAAAAAAAGAAGAAAGACTAATAATAATAATAATAATAATAATAAAGTTAAAAAAAAGAAAAAAAAATTTACTATTTAATGTTTCAAATGATGGTAATGGAGTTGAATTAATAACAGGTGTTAAATCAGTATAAAGAGGATTTGTTGTTGATATTTGTTGTTGACATGGTGATGAACGATGATAATCAATTGATTCTTGTCGACAATTATCTAATGATGTATCACTTGATGATGAATATAATCGAGGATAATTTAATAATATCATTGAGGATTTATTTGATAAATTATTATTTTCTTTTATTATTAAAGATGATTCATCTTTTGATAATCTTTCATCTTAAATTAAAAAAAAAAACAAAAACAAATAATATTTATTTCGTATATTTATATACGTATAAAGATGAAAACCTCTTTGATTATGAATAATTGACATTTGTTCTAATGATAAAATTGATTGAGGTGATATAGAAATTCTTGAATCAACAATAATTGGTAAAGAATTTGTTGAATTTGAACAAATTATATTTGGATTTGATTCAACTGAATATATTTCATGAGAATTTGAACAATAATATGACGATTGATTTGGCCATTGATGATTTCGAACACTATCAAAATAATGCTTAAAAAATTTTCTTTTTTTTTTCTTTTAAATTTTTTGAATTTCTTTTCTTTTTTTATTTTATTAATTATTGTCTTACTCGTATAATTTGTTCATCAAGTTGAGTTCGTTGTTGAATTTCATCCATTTGAGAAAAATCAGCAAATGGATTTTGTTGATAAAAACTTTCTAAAATTGATGCTTTTTCTTCTTCAACTGTTATTAATATTGAATCAGCTTTAAAATAAAATAAAATAAAAATATTATATGAAAATATTATATGAAAATATTACGTGAATCTTTTTCATAAATATTCTCTTGATGATTCCATGTTGTTTGAAATTGTTGATAATTATCTAAAGGAATTTCATCACTTGAATTTGTTGATGAATGACAATCATTTATTCTTCCATTTGTTTCATTCGAATTTGATCGACATATTACATTATTTGTTTCTTCCATTTTATTATTTGAACATTTTTCAGCTTTTGTTCGAACAATTCTTTTAATAAAAAAAAAAAAAAATTATTATTTTATTTATTATTTTATTGTTTATTAACCTGTTTATAGATGATACAGAAGGTGCACTTTTTTCATCACAAATTCCATCATTTATTAATTTTGTTTTTATTTCCCAAGCAAACATTGTTGGTTGAGCTTTTTTATAATTTGTTATTGCATTAATTACTTTTGGTGTTGCTACTTTTGGTTTTGATCCTCCAATAACACCTGGACGAATTGAACCTGTTTGAAGATATCTTTAAATAAAAATAAAAATAAAAATTATTTTTTTTTTTTTAATTTAAAACAAAAACAATAAAATAATATATTAGATAAAACCTTCCAAGAATTTTTGAAACACAACCATGAGAAACTTTTAATTGTCTTGATATATCACATGGACGAATTCCTTGTTGATTTAAAGCAACAATTTGTTGTCGAACAACATCAGGTAATGGACGACCATTTACAAATAAACCTCCTAATTGATTTATTCCACCATGACCTTAATTTAATATTAATTATTTTAAAATTATGTTTTTTTGTTTTTTTTTTAAAAATAAAAATTCAAACAAACCATCTTCATTTGAATTATCTTTTGATGATTGTCTTGTTAAACCTTTTTTTGTTATTTTATTTATATTAAATAAATAAAAATAGAAATAAATTTATTATTTATAACGAATAAAACTTAACTTACGTCTTTTATTATTTGAATGATATTCAATATCTGATGGATTTCTATGAGAATTTAAACAATTCTCTAATGAAAATCTTTTTGAATCATAATTTATCATTATATTGTCATTTAGATATTCATCATTATTATCAACCATTCTAAATTACAATTATTATTTACATTTAACCTATTCATCTTTTTTATCTTTAAAACAACACCAACACCAACAATAACAACAACAACAACAACAATTTTTCCATTTTTTTTCTTTTTTTTTTAGTTTATTTTATATTTGAAAAATTTCTTCTAATTTTTCTTTTGTTTTTTTTATTTTTTGTCTTTAATATAAATTGAATATTAATTAGAATAAAAAATCTTTGAATAAAATGTAAATTTGTGCTCTACTGGTCATGCGAATCGAAGAAGATCGCCCACGGCTCAACGTGTATAAGAATCAATATCTTACCTATGGTCTCTTTATTGCTTCCTTCGTCGTATTCGTCCTCTTCGTCGTTCGTCGTCACAGATCAATGCTTTTACTTTTCATCTATATTCTATACTTCGATCCTACATTTTCATTTTCTACCAATCAAAAAAAACAACACTATACACTTTTTATCTATCGATCTCTCTTTCTCTTTCTCTTTCTCTCTCTCTCTCGAATATTCTCTACCAAGAAGAGGAACAGAACAACCAAATGAAACCAAACCAAACCAAACGAAACGAAAAGAGAAAAAACAAAACAAAACAAAACTAAATAAATCGGTAGATGAATAAAATATATATGTTGAATGTATATCATAACGATTGGTTGATATATATCGTTTAGTGACATTTATTCTCCACCTACATTAACATATTTACTTGATTAATAATCGAAGACGAACACGAAACACGAACACGAACACCAACACGAACACGAACATTCATCATTTTCTTTATTTTTTCTTTTTTGTTTAATCATCATTTTATTACATAAACGTTCTTTCTTTTTCTTTTTTCTTTCATTTAAAATAAAATTTTTATTTTATTTAAGAAAAGATAAATTATCTTGAAAGATGATCTTAAACAAGATGATAATCGATTATCCTTAAGGGAATATTTTCTTTTTTTCTTTATTTTTACATTAAAGTATATTCACAGTTTTTATAAGTAGGCATTGGAGCTCTCTCTTTAATCAACTTATTTCCTTATTCAGAACGATGACAATTTTCACCGAGCGATTTTGACTAGAAATTTATCGTTCTTTCGATAAAACGTTTTATAAGTGAATTGAAAACTATGCCATTTTTTAAACTTCGTCTAGCTAGAAATATCTTTGAAAATGAACAGTCTTTGTTCTACCCTTAGTTTCACATGTTCTCAATTATAAAGAAGCATTAGACCTTTGTTTAATTGGAAATGTGACAATTCTCCTGAACTTTTCAATTGGAGACTTTTCAATTTAGTGATGTATATTGAATTCAGTGAGTAAAAGGAATTTTTCTAAAGATTATTACTTGTTTCTATGGTACNGAAATAGAGCAATGTGATGTATGAATCAAATAAGTCAATACATTGATTTAACATCGTATATTATATGAATATGAACTTTAGTCAATCAATAAACTACATATATCAAACAAAAAAATCGATTAACTTAACTTCATATGTGATATTAAACGAAACGAAACTCAATTATATAAATCAGGTGCAAAGAAAAAAGTTGGTCTTTCGTGTACTGTCACCAATGGACAAGTCTATGTAAATTTATAATAAAAAATAACATTTTTCTATATAAATAATAGAAAATGATTTTCTTAGGAATTTCGCGCACATGATCAATCTCATCCTCGATCATCAGAAATATATGCTGAAGTTGAAAAAATGTCAAAAGAACTTATTGAACATGGTCATGAATATGATTCAAGTTGGATTACACGACCATTGAATAAGAATGAAACAATAGCATCTGTTCTTTGTGGTCACAGTGAAAAACTTGCAATAGCATGGAATTTTGTTGCAAATCCAAATACATCACAAATCCAACTAACAAAAAATCTTCGTGTTTGTGGAGATTGTCGTAAGTGATGGTCTCAATCATTGCTTTTTATTATTTATGTATTATTTATAGATCGAGCAACAAAATTAATCGCTGCTATTCGTCAATGTGAAATAATTGTTCGTGATGCAAATCGAATTCATCATTTCTATACAAATGGAAAATGTTCTTGCAATGATTACTTTTGAAAAAACTCTTCAGCTTTGTTTTGTCTTGGTTAGTTCTTTATTTCAAGTCAAAAATAAATGTGAAAACAATGAATTTTTCTATTAGTAGCTATAGAATGAAAATTCGATTTAGAAATATATTAATAGAGACAAATAATTTTCTTCGCGTAGAATGCATAAAACAGTTTCATTGTGATAGATAGTTATTTTTGACTGTCAAAACGATTACATAGAAAAAGTGAAATTATGTTCTATTATGAAAAAAACTATTACTTTTTTAACAAGGAGATTGTTTGAAGCTAAAAAATCTCACATTTCGATACCTTTATAAACATGCAAAAAAAATCCTTATATGTAAAAGGAAACTATTAAATAGACTGTTTCGATCATAATAATAATAATATAAGTATATATAATGAAAATACTCACTACAAAAAATAGTAATAAACCTTATATGAGTAATTTAAAAAGTTGCATTAAATTCCATTGTATATGTGGACAATATTACTATGATACTTTATCTTAGTTTATTCCAACAAAATGGACGATGCAAGCTGAATTTTTTAAACATTATTAAGTTTTAATGGTATGGATGTGAGCACGGTTAGACATATCGAGGATAATTATCAAGGAATATGTCGAATATTTTAAAAAATTAATTCAATTCAAAATTAATTCTACCAAGATTGAAATTATATCCTTGGTGAGGTGTAGATGTCTCTCAGAAAAATACATACAGGTATACCTTTATTATGATTACTTTTTATGTTAGTCATAACTTTGATCAGCTGATTAATAAAATCGTACCTTTTTCGATTTACATTCACCAACAGAAAAATATAATATCTGTAGAGCATAAACACCTCAGAACAAAAGAGATTTACAATAAATTATAAAATTAATTATTTTTTTCTTATTTAACGATATATAGTTTTTTTCGAAAATTGTCATTCGAACCGGATTTCATTTTCGAATGAAATTTGAATATCATCTAGTTTCATAAGTGGCATCAAAATGAAGAGAATCGAAATAGAGCAATGTGATGTATGAATCAAATAAGTCAATACATTGATTTAACATCGTATATTATATGAATATGAACTTTAGTCAATCAATAAACTACATATATCAAACAAAAAAATCGATTAACTTAACTTCATATGTGATATTAAACGAAACGAAACTCAATTCAATCGAACACCTATCCTAGCTAGTTATATAGAACAATAAAAGACTATTGATTTTTATAAATTTTTAGTTAGTTAGTTAGTTTGCTAATTACTCGTTACCTTAATAATAATAAAAAACTAAAAATATTATAAAATGTATGTATTTTCTTGTTTTGTAATTTATTTATTTAATGTGTAAATGTAAATATTTTGAACTTAAATAGCCTTTACTAATTCTTCAACAAATATCATATTGTATATTCTCCTTTATTATGGTATTTCTGTTTCATGAGTTTATATCTCTTTATTTTCTATTTCAATTCAAAATCATTTAGTTATGATTATCTTCATTGCATGATATGTAAATTAAATAAAATCTTGTTCCTTCTTTTTGTTTTGTTTTATTATTATTATTATTAAAGAACTTCTTTAGTTAATATGATAAATTGATCTTAATTATACTACTGTTTGTTTGTTTTTTTTAAAATTAAATTGAATTCAAATAAAACATTCACTTAATGATACTTGGGTGTGGGTGTGGAGTATGGGGTGTGTGGTGTTCTTCTACCCATATCCATACCCGCCCACACTCATGAATATCCATGAAGAATATTTGATAAATTATCTTCAGTTTTCATATCTATTTAATCAATAAAATAATAAAATATCTTATTTAATTCAAGTTGAAATAAAAATACTTGTTGATATATGTTGAACAGATCTAAAATTTTGTCTTGAAGTATTTAAATTATTTTCTTTTTGTGTAAAATGTTCATTTAATTGTTCTTGTTGATTTGTATGAAGATTATCATATTATCATCATCATCTTGATCATCTTGTTCATCTTCATCTGATTTTGATCGAAAAATATCTTGTTGAATATCTGAATGCATTTGTTGATGAACGACGAAATTTTCGTGTTTTATCTAAATATTCTTTTATTGGAAGTTATATTTGTTTTTCTTGACAATCTCGACTAAATGAATGTTTTAATAATTGTTCACAATTTCGACGAATTAAATAATCTTTTATCAGACATGATTCAACAAAATTATGAAATTTTTTTCACCTAATTTCATCAGCATATTTATTTATATCATTAAAAATAAAACAGAGAAGAACACAAACTATTTCGATTTTAAACGTGGTGCAACATTTCGGGGAATTAAAAAAGTGCTCGCATTGAATGCATTTCACATAATGCTAAAAGTTTTTTTTTTAAAGAAAAAATTAAATGTATTATTATTTAAATAAAAAAGAAAGATAACAAACGTGGTTGTCCTTCAGCCATTTCAATAGCTTTTATTCCTAATGAGCATTTATCACTCTAAATAAAAAAAATTCAATTTAGAATAATAAATCTTCATTTTAAAAACATTGAAAATTTACTCTATTATCATATGTTGTAGCCTGAGGATTTTCATCACATGCAATAACTTCAGGTGCCATCCTATGATTTAATTAATTAAATAAATAAATAATTTATATTCATTTAAATAAAAATATCAATAAGGCGTTCCAATAAAAGTATTTCTTCTTCCAACAGTTCGATCAGGTTGAGCTGATACACCAAAATCAATTAATATAACTGCAGTATTTTCAGTTAAAAAAAAAACATTCTTTAATTAAAAAACTTTTTCTTTCAAAAAAAAAGCCAAGATATTTCTCAAACATGTCCTTTAATATCTCTATGAATTATTTTATTTAAATGAAGATGATTTAAACCATTTAAAATTTCTTTACTACTATATGATATCCATTCTTCTTTTAATGAATTTTCTTTTGTTGATTTAACTAAATCAGTGATTGATCCAGCACCACAATATTCCATAAGACTTTTTAAATTAAACAAAAATTAAAGAAATCTCTTTTTTTTCTTTAAACTAAAAATAAATTACTCATAATTGATCATGTTCATTTCTTCCAAATAAACATTTATTTATAAATGCTCCATAATACGTAGCTATATATTTCGATGATTTGTATCATTCATCAAATTTTTTTTCGAACAAATTTTCTTTTTAGAAACAGGAAATTCTTTCGATTTTATAATTTTATTTTCATTAATCCTGACTTAACGAAATAAATCTGTATGTAGGCATATGTCGTCTATGGGATATCGGAGGCTGTACATTCCTTCACTTTTCAAATACACTTAGTTAATTGAGAATGAGAAATTTCTTCATAAGCACTTCATGACAATAAAATTTTTTTAAATTAAAATTCTAATAAATAATATTCTTTTTTTTTTTCTTTGATTAATTTATTAGATTATGTCGAAAAGATCTTATACATAGTAGATACGATAATTCATCTCAATTATCTGAATTCTATCACTTCTTTTATTTGCTTACATATGTTTTTCGTATCGTTAGAGATTCATTAATGGAAAAAAGACACGTTAAATATTTGTTGTTGTCTTTTTTTAATAAAAAAATTCTCAAACTTAAGAGACTTCTTCGATATTTAGGTAAGCTGAGCAAGGGTCGGGAATAGATTTTTAAGATATTTCAAGATATTATTTTTCTTGATCATCTTGGATCTTATTTTGAAACTCTAAACATAAACTAACAATGCTACTGGACTTGGACTATAATCTTCAAGTATTCTTTGAAAGAACTTTGCATCAAATCATATCTAAACTGCAAATAAAACTATTTGAAAAACGATCGTGAAAATAACTAATTAAAATGAGTTATTTTCAGTCTATTCTGATTTAACGAAAAACTCAACAATATATTTTATTTTTATGAGAAATTGATTATTTCATCACTAATCATTTCTAGAAGAAAAAAAGTTGATACCAATGTAAAAAAAATCCTGATAATGATGCTTTCAATTTTACCTTTGATCATTTATACACTAAATTTCAAGTTGATGAACCTTTATTTTGTTTTTTTCTTTTAAACTTTTTCGAGTCCAATCTTTCGAATTAACATTCACTTTTTATCTAAAGCAGATTTGATAATCTTCTCACTGCTCTGACCATTCATTTTCTTTTTGAATGATTGGTCAGATTTTTTGTTTGATAGAAAAAGAAAAGAATTTTTTTTCTTAACCG